GTGCCCACAGAACCTGCATCTCTACCTTAACTACTCTTATGGGTTTCTGCCCGTGCAATGCATTGTTCGTAACATAATGTGTGCGTTCCATTTGTATTCATAAAGGTTCCTTGCATGTCGTAAATGTTTATCCCGGAGCAAACACATATCTCATCATGTACTATTAATCAAGGTTCGAGATGGTGGGCAGTGTTTACATTCAATATGACATCTAATTAAAAGTTTTCCCCTTTGATAGATCACCACGTGCCTTCTAGGCACGTCATCGTTGTACGCTACGCCTACATTTTCATTAGCTCGGTCTCATATTTTGATGACTACGTCACCGCTATTTAGATGTAAGTTTAATTGGTCCATCTTCTAGGCATATGCCCGATAGCTTAAAACACAAATGCTTGGTCGGTTGATTGATTGATTGATTGATTGATTGATTGATTAAATGTCGGTCACATTTCTCCTAAAGGAAGTATACCAGTGTGCCTGTTCTTAGATTACAACTCTAAAGAAAAGGGCAGGATAGTTACATTTGAAGGATACACTTGAAAGTCTAGACTAATGGAAATATATATGACAATATTGTGTGCATTGTAGAAAAAGTATTACAAGGAGAAAACAAGTTCTTTTTATGCATTACAAATATGTAACGATAGTCTTCTGACTTCCGCATCTCCACATCGTTTCTGTGAATAGAGTCATCGGATTTGGCTGTTTGAAACTGGAGTATGAACAAGTCGCATATGAAAGCTTACAAGAACAAAAACTCCCTCTGGGAGAATTTCATTGCAATGTACATTAATTATTGTACGTGAAACGTGGGAGATAAAACGAATGTATCATTGTACCGTCAATATAGAACATCAAAAATGGTCATTGTGTGAAATGAAAACTCAGTATTCTTTGCACAGTTCATAGATTACAACAAAACTATTAATTATTGGAACTGTTATATAGTGGAAAACGGTTAATTTAAATGCTAAGTTTTATATTCAAAATAGTCACACACACATTGACTTTCTTAGTATTGACTATATCAATTACATGCATTTGAAATACCACAAATAAATATACAGAAAATAATGCAGATTAAAATTACTTTTAGCCATCGGAGACAAGATAGTTTAATTATATATTAATATATATATAGTAACGAGATGGTGAAATGCTCACGATAAATCACGACAAATGTTGGAAAAAATCTACAATGAACTAAATGTGTTATTTGAAACGCATTTGATAGATAGCAACACGTCATTTCCCATTGACACCGTGATCATGATCTTGAAAAATTGCCGTCTAACAAAAAGCAGACTGATGATGTAAACAACACATTTTCACACGTGATTTGATATTTCCCCGAATTTGAGTTCCCAATAGCCCCCCCCCCCTCTGCGTTTTGGATTACTCTTTCAAGAACCATTGCAATAATCTATCATATTGTCGTGACTGTCGGAAGACTGACACAGGAGCTATATGTAAAGTCGTCACTAAAATACCAAACACTGCAGTGATAAACGATTTGGAGCAAAATAAAGAGGGGGTAATCTATCAAATGTCCTAGACTCGGTACCTAAACAACAGGAAATGTGATTATGGGGAGTATTAAGTTAAGTAGTTCGGGATGAAATTTTTTACATTTTCGACCAGGATTATTATTGCTCAGCACTCTCATCTTAGCGACGATTATTGCTATGAACAAACAAAACATTCAACATATGGAAATTATTCAATTGTTCTGTTCAATATAGACCTTCTTTAAAAAAATATATACCAGTTTAGTAACATGTTATATGAATCAATGGCATGTTATTAAATTATAAAAGTTGAATGGTCACGGGAAGTGTCGGTGGTTCCCTGGCCACGGGAGGTGTCGATGTTTCTTTGTTTCCTGTGGTCGAGAATAGATACTAGTATATATTAGAACCACCAATATAATACTAGTGTATATATGTTAGATATACTAGTACTAACATGTCGTTATTTCAATGCAATGCACATTCACTACCAGGGATACGTCCGTGACACACTGCGCTGGTATCAAACGACACAAAATACACGAGAAAAATAATTACCAACATACCCTATACCTCTTCGTGTCACTTTGCAATGTAAATCATAGATGCAAGGTTGTGGTTGCTTGGATACGACAATTTTTTACCATATCAGGGCTATTTCCAATAAAGAACTAGAGATCACATGTGAGCTAGCATCCGAGGTGTAGCATAATACGACCAGAATCACCTAAAATCTCCCAGTGATCTCCATTTGGGAATACAGTGCTTAATTTGCATATTATGATTGTGCGTATTAAATACTGAATAATTGAATTCGGCAAAAAACGAAGCGACCTCGATATTGTAAAATATAATTTAAATTCTGTGTTTTGTCGGGACTTTAATTATGGATTATCGATTATGCTGATTAGTCACTCTCTCCAGTCGCACTTATTTCAGGTTGGAACTTAATTGTTTTTTACAGTTATTCACTCTATTATGTCGGTGGTGTATGTCAGAAAAACGAACGTCCGGTGTTACGAATTGTACGTTTTGTTTTTATTTAGCAACATTCTAACCAAGACGTTTCAACAACAACAACAACAAGAGCTGTTTTTTATTTTTTTCTCCGAAATCAATTAAACACGTCAAACTTGACATTGAGCTACGCATGTTTCTAAATAATTGTCCGTTTCTCGCCACTGATATTGGATTAGAAGATCGTGCAATATACATGTAAATGCAGTTTTGATTACAGAGATTTGAAATCAATGATAAGAGATGTATGTTTTGACATGCTTGCTAAGAATGGTGATGCAATTCCTGTAAATACAATAATCTATTCGCGTAATTTAAAAAAAATACTTTAACAGCATTGGTTTTGAGAGTGAAACTCCGAGGGA